ATGTAATGTAATTAAGCACACAAGTCGCCAAAGAGAAAAAACTGGTTTGTGAAGTCAGTTCTTGGCATACCATACGATTATATTAAACAAAAATGAATAGGTATAAAGTAAAGGAAGATGTCTACTTACACGACGATTGACTGATTGCTTTGTATCGTCTAGTCGTACTGAGATTTTACCTTTTTAGCATGCTATGTAGATGATCATTTTGAAGAAAAGAGTAAAAGATTCCTCAAAAATAAATTTTACTGATAACGTCAACGCAGAAACTGACGATTTTGAAATTAATTTCAGTCATTCAATATTTTACTTGGTTGTTGTTTAAGAAGTATAAATGAATAACCAATGATAACACCCTAACCTCTCCAATTATGCGACATAGTACATTCTATTCACGTATATAATTGCGTTGTATGATGATTAAATGTTTCATCAACTTGGCCAAGTGCCCATTGTTTTAAACACCCCAGCGTTATCCCCTAGATTACTTCAGCTCCAAAAGCCACTTCTCTTGTGCAACGAGTGTCAGTTAATTGACTTTTTCTATTTCACTTCTGACTTTCCCGTTGACTAATAGGACCTAGAAATTCGTCGGCCTCTGTTGACATGTCGGCCACTTGTACAGATGATTCGATAATGTCTGAGGATTAACTTGAAGTAGTCGGTGGCATAGCGGTTAGGACGCTCGCCGACCATGCACATGGTCCGGGGTTCGATTCTCGGCCGACCCACTCCTTTACCTCGCTAAGCTAGAAATAATGCTGATAAAGAGGAAAGGTTAGGCATGAGGCTGTAAAATAAACACTGTTACAGAAACTTCAAGCCACTAGCTTGAAACCCTATGTCCCACTGGGGAACGTGAAGGAAAAAAAGTCTAGTGGATAACCCCATGGCCTTTGAAACGATGAGCACTCTATTCGAGCCTCAGTGGGAACACCACCATTTCCTGGAAAATGCACGTACATCCAGCTGACAAGTCCAAAAGAAGACTGAGTGCGCGACCTAGATTCAGCTATTAGGCATCATCCAACAAATAACTTCAATTTAACCCTCAAGAGCAAACATGTCGCCAGAGGCCGAACATTTCAGTTCAATCAATCAACAGAAAGATCGAAATTGAATTAAAAATGAATGATAACTTGCCATGATCTGTTTCACAAATGCTGCTCAGCATATTTAACTAAAAGGCAAGTAATTTATGAAGAATGCCACATGAATGATTGCATATAGCCAACGGCAGCAAGAAACACGATTTCAGTGATACACTGTCAGACAGATAACACACCAAGTAACAAATTAAAAATGAGAGTATAACACTGAGCAGAGAACTTTGTGAAACAGTTTAGCTTGCACACGACATTAGTATTCAGAATTCTTAACCACAACTCTCCATGGCCGGTTAACACTGATACGCCTAACGAAGCGGACCTTAAACGTCCAGATAACTTACAGCTTCTTTTAGAGACTATAGTTTACGAACTGACCGGACTGTATACAAAAGTAAGGGAAAGTTAGTGTCCCATTTAAGCTAAATGAAGTTGTAGTTATGTCTACCTTTTAGTAGGGTCTATGTAATGTATGATAATATGGGGGTACTAGTCAGTTGCAACCAAAATAATGGTCGCTATCCTCTTCCACTAGCTTTGAAAAACGAGTAAAAGCTGATACACGAAAAGCAAGTTGGGATTTGTCCATCGATCACGCTTGAGCATTCGCACCAGGCAATGTGTCAGATGTTTAAACAACTTCGCTTTAGTTTTGTAATAGATGACATTCTAAAGATAGCCCTAAAGGATGCATGATTGCTAACGAAATATTTGTTTCTCAGCTTCTGTAAATAAGCTGATTAACTTACAAGTACAAAATACTACTGTAAGATTAGGCAGAACCTATGTCCTTACTCACGTTTGCAGGTGACCAATACACAGCAGTTAGTTACAATACTGGAATGAGACCGGCGAATTTCTAGTCGTATTGCAAACGTCAGCCTGTTGTCAACACAACGTTAGTTCGGTCTTCGAAGCGCGAGTTTACGATGTTTCAGAGGATTCATTTTATTTTATACCTGTGAGACTTGGTATTCTCGAGTCGAGGATGAGTGACAAATCTCAGTACTGGATTCTTGCTGTATCCGTAGGGTTGATGGCATTCAGTGGCGTCACTGTATATGTATTTCTCAAGTTTTGACTGGGTGTGAATAGGGATACTGAATTCAGCGGCATCGAGATCCCAGCGAATTCGAAACCCTTTACTAACACTGATTAGAAGTGGTAGTCAGTCAGTGGGGTGGTGCAATATTATAAAGGATAGTTGTGTTGGGTTCGCATCTGATGGTGATTCACGAATCTTCGGTGCACTTCCAAGAATTATTCGATTCAGTGGATCAGAACACAACTAGATATGACTCAGTGGGGAGTCCTACAAATCTTTCTTCTTCTTTTCTTGAAAGTAAGGCTCAGTAACCATGCACAGACTAAGCAGAACTCGGGAGGAACAGACGAGGGAAAATCAAGCAGGCTTTAGACCAGGTAGAGGGTGCATAGATCATATCTTCACTCTTCGACAGATTCTAGAACTAAAACACACTTTTCGGCGTCCAACAATTGTCATATTTCTTGACTTGAAGGCGGCCTTCGACTCCGTGGATCGAAAGGTACTGTGGCAATGTCTGACTGTGAAGGGAGTGCCAAGAAAGTACATTGCACTAATCAAGGCACTCTATTCAAACTCATGTAGCCGTGTAAGGGCTTATGGGGAATTGTCATCTGAATTGATAACAACCAGTGGTGTCCGACAGGGATGTCCACTTTCCCCATTTCTGTTTAACTTCATCATAGATATGCTAATGGAAGTATCCTTAACTGAACGCAACGACTTAGGAATCGACTTGTTACCAGGGAATAGTCTTATGGACTTAGAATATGCAGATGACATAGTCCTGTTAGGGGAAGATGCTGACAAAATCCAGCAGAGTCTTCTGAACACTTTGAGCAGCAATCTTCGTATGTTTGGCATGCGATTCGCCCCTGCAAAATGTAAGATGCTGCTACAGGACTGGACTACGTCAACTCCTAGCTTAGTGATAGGGAGTCAAGTGATAGAAAATGTTGACCGCTTCACCTATTTGGGAAGTTGTATCAGCACCAACGGACTGATTGGCGACGAAACCTCAGCACGGATCCGAAAAGCTCGAGCTGCTTTCGCTGACTTACACCACCTCTGGCGTAGGCGTGACATTCGGCTATCAACCAAGGGACGTGTGTATTGTTCAGCAGTTCGCTCCGTCCTTCTCTATGGCTCTGAAACATGGCCAATACGCGTTGAAGACATGAAAAGGTTGACCACTTTCGATCATAGATGTCTGCGATCCCTGTCTCACGTTAGGTGGTTTAATAAGGTAAGTAATGTTGACGTTAGGCGTAGAGTGTTGGGCAAACAGGGAAAATCAATCGACGAGGCTATAAAGTTACATAGATTGAGATGGCTAGGTCACGTGGTGCGCATTCCTAACCATCGCCTCCCCCGACGGGCATTACTAGCTGATATAGGTGCAGGTTGGAAAAGAGCCAGTGGTGGCCAAACAAAAACACCGCCTCATCAATCCATGAACTCCTTGACAGTTAAACTGAGTCAGGTAGGGAGATGCAGACTCCCGGGTTGGGGCCCTCGGGACTCTAGGAATCAATGGCTGGAGACAATAGGTGACATGGCTCAAAATCGTTGTCAATGGCGCAGACGTATTCAGTCTCTGTAATCTTTCACATTCCTTTCTACCATTACCCATTCTGTTTCACTATTCTACTTGTCAGACTGTATTGATTCTCTTCACTCATCCTCTTGTCTGCCTCTGTGTGCTATTTGGAACGTGGCAACTCGAACTGGTGCACTTCGGTGCCAAGTTTTATGTTGAATCCAGACAGACAGACAGATAGAGAAGTAAAGTGAATACACCTTTAAATAGTCTTGACAGACATGCTTATGAAATTTCCTTCAATTGTTTCTCAACTATTTTATTTTGTTACTTCTAATGCATAATTCAATTCCTGTCTCGATTCAGGCATCCGGGCAGTGTATACCAGCCGTCGCACAAACTATGAGATTTTGTGTTTTATCTCTTGGGGCCCAACAAAATGCATAAAATTTGTGTTTTAGTAATAATGATAATTTTCTGTAGTTTGGTTTGTAAGGGTTAGTTATCTTTTTATGAGTTGATTCCCAAACTAGGATGAAACAGCTGTCCAGTACTCCAGTGCTGGTCACGTGTGTGGATGGATGTCCCACCAACGACAATGGTTGGGGTCACGCTAAATCACGAATGGGTAGAAGTTAGAATTCATGAGCCATTGAATCAGGTCCCAGTGGCTGAATGGTATACGAGCTTGTCTTGTAACCGGAAGGTCCTGGGTTCGAATCACAGTGGGTGCGTACTGCCGATGATTCATAACAAACTAGGATGAAACAGCTGTCCAGTAATTCAGTGCTGGTTTTCAATGGTTCTCTAACTAATATCAATCCGTGATCAACTAGTAATAATAATATCGATATTATCATTAATATATTACAGGCAGTGTTTAATTCTATAGGAGAAATTCTAATCAAGTGCATAAAATGATTATTAAGTGAGTACCGGAAATTTCAATCTAGCCTACACAAATACACCCTTAAGTCGCCTATGAAATCAATTATTCAGACACGAAATAATGAACAATATATAATTAAATTTTATTCATTATTTGTATAGATGTGATAATTTATAAAATCATTTGAAAAATAAAATATCATGTTAAAATACAAAAGAGTATTATCAACAGTGGATAGAAATGCATGAAAAACAAAAACAAGAATGACGAAAAGAAAAGGACCAAAGTGTTCGGATCACATTGATTTAAATAAAATAAGATATATATATATATATATTATATAACCGGGTAGAGCATAAATCATTTTCTCATCACATTAAATAATAAGAAATAAACTTTTAAGTGTTAGTAATCAAATAATTACATTTTACGCGAGAAAATCAACTCTTCCACACGATACTCATCACCGACAAATTGAAATTTAAAACGTCTTAAATCCTTTCGTGTAATAATTCCGCGAACCTAAAAGAATTATTGTTTTTAAATGAAAATAAAATGAATTTTAAGAAAATACTTGGTTGCTACACGATAAAGTAATTATTATATACATGTATCTAATAATTTCGGAGTTGATGTTGGTAGTACATGCGTACACAAGGAATCACAAAAAGAGACTCCTCTTATGCAATTACACTTGATTGAATTAGAGTAAGTACATTGCACTGTTATATACCTGGAAGGGGGGTTTAAACCCATTTAGAAAACTAGCACACACTGCTATTTGCAGGAGTTCAAAGTTTCAACAACTGGGACAATTTTAGCTAGTCAGAGTTACTGGGGCCGTTGGATTCCGTCGCAATGGCTGTATAGTATACGTGTTCGCCTCGTAATCTGAAGGTTCTGGCTCCGATCCCTGGTTGGGTTCATGGGTGCGTAATGCTGAACAGTCCCAGACAAGGACGAAACAGCTTTTCATCAGTATCTCCTGGCTCTTTAACTGAGGTCAATTCATGTGGTCAAAATTGAGATCAATCAAATCCCTGCAAATCAACACTTGGAAACTGTACAATACTGTCTTCTTAATCGGCGACTTTGTATATCATAATCACTTCTGTCGATAATAACTGTTTTATATATTACGCAATTACACTCTTGATTATGTATTATTTTAGTTACTATACTCTCTCATCATACTGCCAACTGTTCATACCAAGTTGAAAAAAAATTATCACCTCAGGTAAATCGTACCTTTGTCACCTACATCGAATTAAACAATAGCAACTATGCCAAATTATAGGACGAAGGGGACAACCACCGAAGAAATATTTTAGTTAAACTTCTTGTTTTCTGACGTTTTGAATAGTGATGAGTTTTACATATCTACACACATCTGAATAATGACATAAGCTTACTATCCTTGAATTTCGTGACCAATCTAAACTTTCAATTCTTGTCCCAACTCAATCTAACTATGCTACCTGATGATGTGGTGATTTAGTGCGCGATTAACATACATGCACAATAATACTTTAGCTGCAATGCTTACAAACTATAAACAATATATGATTAAAATGAATACCAAAAATATAAATCACGATAGTACTTGGTTTTGATTATCAACAACAGGTAGATGTCGAAGGCCCAGAAGACGGAAGAGGTGATAGACACGAGTCATTGTCATAGTCTAGAAGAAAATACAATTCAATTAAAAGTTATAAAAACAAATTATATGATATGCAGATGAATGAGTTTTATACTCTGCTTACTGACACACAATCTCATTTATTGAATTTCAAAAGCAACACATCAGAATATTATATGTGTGAAGATGATAAGTGCAAACAATATGAATTGTCTTTCTTGATAATAATAATAACTATGAGCTTAAGGTCAATACACTACTAGGTATAGTGATTGATACCAGGCACAAATGATTCCAAAACATCTATGATCGAAAACTCCCAACATTTTATTTCACGACCCCATAATGACTGATTCAAACAACACCTCTTCTAAGATAAACAGCTCAAGTGCTAAGGTTCCATTAGCAACCAGTTTAGTATAACGGTTGACACCATCGGAATACATGAAGTAGAAGTTAATGATGCAATCAAAAGTAATAAATTCCCAAAATGGTTGGCTTTAAAGAAAAGGCATTTTAAAGAAATCAACATCATTCGTGAAACTGCACGCACAGGCTGACTAGTTGCATTAAGATACAAAAACAAAAGTTATGTGAATAATTCCAAAGAATAACAACAGCATATTGCTGTGCCAAAAATCCAGTCGATTAAAACACACAAAAGTTTCCATGAAAGTCTATTGATTGATTCAATTTGCAGAAATTCATGACGTGCAGAAGAAATCAATTGATTGAATACGTGTCATTGAACATAATGCATTTATTTATCTACACAGAAATATGGATAAGTAAACATGACTACACTTGAACCATTCTGATTGATTCTCAAACATATCGATGAGGTTCAGTGGAGAGTGATCGATAATATTTCAATGAGAACGAATAGACTGTCTAATTTGCTCAAAAGTCTATGCTTAATCTAAACGCTGTTTGACGAGTAACAGTAGCAGTGTGAACCTTACAATTTTACAGAATTAGTTTGTAAGGATTGGATTTGCTTCCAGTTTGCTCATGAAATCATGTGAGTTAGAGAACTAGTCTGGGAACTATCGGCAGCACGCACCCATGGACTGGACTCGTGACCTGAAGGTCCTGGGTTCGGTTACTGGTGGGGACACCAACCCTTGACAAAACTTCAAACCAGTCCTACAATCAATAATGCTTTAAGAGGGAAAGTTACAAATTGGTCGCCTAAGAATTGATATTATTTATAATTATAATGAGAAAGTCAAAGACAACTTTATTGACTGCCTAAGTTCCAGTGTAGAAATTTGCAGTTCAAGTTGCCACACTTCATAAGCACATAAATGCAGAGGAAGAAAACACAGGAGCTATAATGAACGGAATTGTATAGGATCAAATATCGAAATAATAATGAGAATTTAATGGATGTTGGATTTCATAAAGAATGAATGCATTTAAGGGACTGACAACAACTTTGAGCCATGTCATCAACTGTCGCTACCGATTCGTTCCCAAGATTTTCAGGACCCCAGCCAGACAGTAAATACCTCCATATGCGGCTGAAATGAACAGTTAGAGGATCTGGATAAAGCAAGAACAACAGTGGTTTGTGTAGAATATGGCACCATCATTTATTTCGTTGGCCTCTCATCAGCTGCTTACAGCCTAAATAAATTATGAGGTTTATGTACAGAAAAGTTTTAACATACTTGCAAATTTTTCATGATGTCAGTTGACAGAAGGTTCCGCAATTAGTGAACAGTGCTCAAAAAATTGCGCTCATATAGGTTTTACACAGGGTGCACGCAACTGGAAATTTTCACATGAACGGTTAACTTTACCAGGAAAAGTGGGAAAATCATCACAATGTGCCTTGGACAGATTCATGTGTTTAAAGCAGATATTAAAACAGTGATGCGTGTTCCTCAGTGACTTTACGAATTTGGATCATTTCATCGAAATCAGTGTCACAAGTACATTTTCGCAAAATAAAACTATCAATACTTAGCATGTTCACCAGATACAAGTTTATGAAGTAGACGAAGTTTTGCTGCACTGTCTACTTCAAACAATTCCGCTTTGAATGAATCTTTAAACCTTTCGAACCGTGAAGCAAAAATGATTCCAGTACCTGCATCATATTTGGATTGTGTAACTGACTTGAGGAAAAAATCAATTTTCTCAGTGTAGGAATGACTGGATGACTGTTTAGATAATTTATTGGTTAGAATTTCAATCAGTTTCATATGAGATGCTTTATACTGTTTTTTTACTGTTATAACAGTAACTAAATATACTCAAAACACATGAAGACATGTTTAAACATGCCGCCGAAAATTAATTTGAATTCATGCAATACATACAAATCTAAAGTTTGCGCTAATTGTCCACCATTACCACTTCATTTTGAAATAATCGTGTGAGCGTACAAGTGTTGTTGACAAATATCACCTTCATTTATTTATTTATTACAATGTAAGTTCTTATTTTGAAGACTAGTCTAAGATGTGAAATACGCCTACAAAATTAAAACTTTGTAAGTTATGAGGATGATGATAATAACAATAATACGTATGTAGTACAGTTCATAGTACATGTTTATGGTATTATATCAAATCTATTCCATCATAAAAACAGACAGAATTATTTGAATTGAGAAAAAAATTATTATTTATTTACATCATACATGTACTTTAGGATTTTATACAAACTTTTTTCTGTTCATTTTTTTCGACTTTAAGGAAAAATTTTAAAAAATATCGGTCTTACCTCTGGAACACTATACGGTGCTTCACACATATAAGGTCTCAAATCCAAATAAGCATCCATATCTTCATACGATAAGTTAGCTAGAACATCCTACAAAGTGTAAGCGTGAAAATACAATCTGATAGTATGTAATCTAACTAGCTCTCAAGGTATAAACCATTCTGATATGGGTAAGTGAGGTTAGTGTAAATTAGGATGTAGTTACCGGAAACAGGTACCAGGCTGCGAAGCACACTATGCTGTGTGAAGGATAATGATACCAAGCAGTCATTCAGGAAGAAGTAGATGGAGTAGCAGTCGGAGCCGGAAATAATTGAAACATGCATGTTTAACTAAGTGTGCTGACGGAGTAATTGGAATTAGGAATCAGTACACAAATTGTCTCTCAGCTCCTTGTATTTGTCACAATTGCGTGATCCTTTTTCTTTTTCCATTCCTCGAGTTCAGGCTGAGAAATACGACTTCGGGCTTTCTGGATTTTCAGTAGCTGTGGTGGTGTTTTTTTTGGTGTGAAATTGCTAGTCTAACCCGCCACCTTCGCTTTTTTCCCGGTTTCCTATCGTTAAATGAACTAGGCGAGGTTTACGAGTGGCTTGGGGTGGAATCATACCCGGAACACCTGCGTGGTTGGCGAGTTATTTTATCACTAAACCACCAACCCCCATTTGTTTATTCCTTTACGTTCCCAGTGGAACACAGGACTTAAAGTTTCGGTAGCAGTGGTGTTTATTTTTACAGGATACGATTGCTAGCCTCATGGCTAACCTTCCCTCTTTACTGTCTTATTACTGGATTAGCGAGGTAAATGAGTGCGTCGGCCGGGGATCGAAACCCGGACCACATGCGTGGTCAGCGAGCAGTCTACTGCTGTGTCACCGACATACATCAACCCCCATAATGTAACTTAACTGAAACATATGAGAAATATAGAGAGAAGCCAACTTAGTTACACTTTAGGAGAACTTTAATCCATCAGGAGATTAAGCAATTAACTACATTTGTCCACTAAGTTATGTACTGGTATCACCTGTTTTACTAGGATTCTTATACAATTTTTAAGTGAGATAAACCAATGTATACGCTTATGAATACATCGATGTAGCATGTTTTTAAATGGAAAGTAATCACACGTAGTGTAACACTAATACAAGTAAAAAATCAGAGTACACAAAAGCCATGAATGCATTGCAAGTCACTCTCAAAAGTGTTATTCTTTAGTATGGTAGCAGAGCAGTAATATGGAAAATCGTATCTCAGTGAGTGATACAGTACGTGTTGTTATACAATTGAAGATATTCTTCTATGAGAGTTCTGTTGTCCGCTTTGCTGCAGTAAAGAAAAGTGTAAATCGATGAGCGTGCTTGATTTTATTTACTGGGAGTGAGGGGTAAGGTGGAGGGGTAAGTGTCTTACCTATTCAAAAATCAACTAAATTACCTAATTGCCAATTAAAACTAATATGCACCAGCAAGGCCACTTTTTCTCGACAGTTTCCCGGCACAGAATTCAATCAGATCAATTTTCATGATACTAAGTATATTTAACAGATAGTATTTCTCAGTTAGAAGTTATTGACCCCTGTTACTTTGTGTAATCTGTAGTTACAAATATCATTGTCAGATTATGTCAACACAAGTAGTCTCGCCGAGAGTAAACTTAAAATCTAAAAAACCTCAGTCCCACTGTTTAATACAGGCTATATTAAATATAGGAAGAATCAGGTTAAAAATTTGTTAACTTACGGCCAACTTAGGATACGATGGATAGGCATTATCATAATCTTCATAACGCATTGTGTACACTGTATTGCCATCTTTACAGAAGGCCTAAATAAAAAAAAAACTGAGATAGAAGCTAACCAAAAAATATGTGCGTATACAGGTCTAAAATAGGTATTCAACCAGAACAGTAAATTAGAGAGTAACACCACTCATGTAATAAGCTTAAGGCCTGAACCCATAAAATATATTGTACAGTCTATATAACTTACAATAACGATTACACAATGATAACAATTACCGTTATCATGGATAAGTCTGATTACCTTAGCACAATGGAGACTCTATTAAGAGATGCATGAAAATTTCAGAAACTTACAACCAACAAAGATACAACGGAGAGGACTAAGAGACAGTTGACAGAGTCACTAAAAAAGTTGAAACAACACGACCATATTTCACCTGCCTTTTATGAAACACTAAAACCTGTAGGCACTGTGATACCCAGGTTGTACGGTTTACTAAAGATTCATAAAAACGGCTTGCCACTTAGACCAGTCCTCGATATGTCTAGCTCACCATACCATACAACTGTGAAATGGCTGGTGGAACGTTTACAGCCGTTGCATAAGAAACTTGTGAAAAATAGCGCAAAAGATAGTTTTGAGTTTGTAGAAAGAATCAAAAAATTAAATGTAAAGGAAAAATACATGATACCAGAGGATATATCTTCCTTATTCACCAATGTGACTTTGATGGAAACAGTTGATTACATAGGTAATGAATTGATAAAGCTAGGTATAGAGATTGGAATTCCTGTGTCTTCCCTAAAGGAACTTCTTTTGAGGTGTAGGATGAACGTAAATTTCCTGTTAAATAAAGAAATGTACAGACAATCAGATGGTGTTGCCATGGAATCACCACTAGGCCCAATCCTAGCAGATTTTTCCTAGTGAAACTAGAGAATGGTCCACGGAAAGATGTAATAATATAATCTTGGTTTCTACTGCAGATATGTTGATGATGTATTTAAAGTTCTTAAGAAAGAAAGTGAGGTTAAAAACATATTGGATAAATTCAGTAGAACACATCCCAGCATAAGCTTCACTAAGGTAGAAGAAGAAAATGACTCTGTTTCCTTTTTGGACATCCTAATGACTAAACGAACAAACGGAACAATATGTGGACGTTTGCATGGAAAACCTACTTCCATTGGACAATATACTCACTTCCTGAGTTTCGTACCTCTACAATACAAACGTAATCTGGTTAGATGTCTGGTTCAACCGGCTAGAGTCGCCTATTCAAATGAGACACTGATCGAAGAACTCGGTAATATTCGTGATCTACTAAGCAGAAACGGATATCCAACTAAATTCGTAAACAAACACATGAACTCAGAAAGTAAAAGGTCGAAGTTGCCGACTGTTCTCAGTGTTCCTAAGGTTACAGTTCACGGGTGGTGTTGATAGATCTTATTACAACGTATGAGAAGGGCCTTCAAAAGGACTTTCTATGCAGGTAAGCTATGCTGTGTATTCACTAGCCGACCAATACTTAGTTCAAGAAATAAAGACAGACTGTCCTGTTTCGCCTCTTCCATATGTATTTACCAGTTTAACTGCCAGTGAGGAGCTATTTACATAGTAGGGCGTACGATCAGGCAAGTTCATGGTCGAATTTCTGAACACCTCCCATCTTGGTTTGGCAAAGGTCCGAATAAAGCTATACGCAGCTCAATACTAGTTCACCTCGTCGATACTGGAGATAAAATCGACTCTAACAAATCTTTTTATCGTATATCACCCAACCTCTCGCATTGTCTATGAGTATGACTTTTACATACAGCAGACGCAATCGGAATTCATCTGAACAAGCCAAAGCTATGTGTTCAAAAGAAATTTGTACACCCCCTTCTTTGCCATGGCCAACTACATAATATGTATTAAGTTTTTAAAAACGAGCTTTTTCCCTCCCCTTGTAATTATATTTTGACTTTGTTAATTTTAAAACAATTAGTCCGTTTGATAAATTTGAATAAGGCATTTAGAAGACAAATTTCGCAAGATGATATCATTTCGTAGTTTATTTACAACCGCTTTACAACTAACATGGTTAACAATAATAAAATAAAGTGCATGAATATTAGTCAGTTATATTAAACAAAAGTTCAATTCAATAATTAATATGACCCATTGCACAAGAGGTGGCTCTCGTGGCCCAAGTGGTCTAGTGGATAACGCTTTGGCTTTGAAACTATGGGTACTGGGTTCGAGCCTCGGTGGGAACATCATCACTCACTGAGAAATGCAGGTACATCCTGATGACGAGTCCCAAATAGGACGAAATGCGAATCCTCGATTCCACTGCTAGCCACCATCCACCAATTGTATACTAACTAAATGCCCGGACATCGTCGAAGCATCTGCACAAGAAGCCGATATGTCAACCTGAGACCGAGCACTTCGGTCCAATCAATCGACGGGAAAATCAAAAATTCAATTCAATAAAAGTACATACTAACGATCAATCATATATTAGTATGTACTTTTGTTTTTTAAATAACTGAGTAATTGTCATGATCTTTATTTTATTATTGTTAACCAAGTTAGTTGTAAAGCGGTTGTAAATAAACTACGAAATGATATCATCTTGCGAAATTTGTCTTCTAAATGCCTTATTCAAATTTGTTAATTTAACAATTTTTACAATTCTAGCTAATTCTATTAACTTATTTGTAATTCACGTAACCCTTCTGAGTCATCCTATTCTTCTTAGTCATCATTGTTATTTTACAAATTTCTTGATAATGCAATAACTTGTTGCCAACGGCTACGAATTAACTTATCTCGAATTCCGTAATCAATTTTCACCCGTCTTTTAAAACTTAGATATCTTGTTACTAGCATCTACTAGTTATTCGTTCTGATGACCTTTAACCTCTTAATTTCAACTCCACCTATGCCTAAAACTGATTCACTAAAATAACCACTTGATTGGTAAAATAATTTGGATTGAAACATATTTCTTCGCTCAATCTGTTGTTTTTTCTCAATGCGTAAATGAAAATTACATTTCACTACACAAATACGCGTACTAAGTAAATTCACATTCCCTCATTGTAGTTGTTTCTCAAAATAAAAAGTAAAATAAAAATTTATTTGCTTGTTAATGACATACAATCAAATAAAATAGAACAATTCACTGACAGAAGTGGACCATGAACACTGTATGAGGAGTTCAGTCTCAACTGTGAATAGAAAATTCTCCACTGAAAGTGAACAAATGTCAATATCTTGTATTTATTAGAAAATACCATGGATATTACAAAAACAACATAACATTAGTGCGTGTGCAAAATACGCAAAATAATTCAACTAAAATTATAAGACGCAATTGTTTCCAACTATAATGAATTTTAAGGTGTAAATTATTATCTATTGAATTATAATGACAATTTATAGGGAAAACAATGTGGATATAATATATTTAGCTTTGGCATAATATGAAACTATCTGAATAGAAACAAAAACAAACTTCCGATATTAAATGATGTTAGATAGACAAGCATCAACAAGATACGGCTTGATATTATTGTATAGGTTCTGGCAGAGGGGGATAGGCAAATGATTGCCGCCTTTCAATCTACAACACCTGTGAGGACGCCAATTATGAAATAGTCTAAGCGGCTATGATATACTAAAGTGTGGCCGGTACACTGGGTAGAATACTTTGATGAGAGTTCCACCTAACCCAAATATGGACTGCTAGAATTCAATTGCACTAAAAGTGCACATCATTAAACCCATGCCTGAATCAGATACTAGACACCAGTCATCCAACCATAGCCAACGTCACAAAAGCTGTACCAAGGTAAAGCATAACCATCTGGTGGTATAGCTATTTAGCGAAATTATGTACACCTTATCTTCACTTCAAATCACCATCGGCACAGATCTTCTGTGTTATGCCACTTCTGTCATTCATATTGAGTTTCTTTGTATTCCTTTCACGTCTGCCATGTTTCCCCGCAACGCTGTACCATTTGCTTTCTCTGACATCAAATATATCTCACTGCTATTCTGTTATTCTTATGCCGAAGAGCGTCTCCTTATATACTACTATCAGTAACACACGCCACAGTATGACTCCAAAGGTATTTGAAAACGGTGATGATATTTCGATTACATTAACTACAGTAATAGATAGCGCATGGGATTCCGAGATAGTTTTACTGTAAAATGGTGTGGGGTGATAATCATCTCAGTTTATAGGAAAGAAAATAAATCTCCTTAAAACAATAAAAGGGGGATCGGCTTAGCTACCATCGAATCTGAGATTCTGCGTTATATGGTTGTGTGAAAAATCAGTGGAACTCAGGAAAACAAAGTGGAGAACACCAGGTAAGTGTGAAATGCAGACGACCGCAGGCCTGCTTACTGACTTCATAGGTTACTCTATTTCATTTTCTGCAGAAGACCCTATTAAATGCAAAATGATGCAGAAGGACTGATTTGCACGGACTTCAACTTCTGGATATAGGGAATAAAGTAGTTAAACACGTTCACAGCTTCACTTAGTCGGGGAGGTAAATGAACTGTAATGGATTTATTGCTGATTGAAATCTCATCATAGAAACAAAACTTTGGTGCGGCGTCCGCTAACATGAGTCTTTTTCTGTCCAGGTGTTATATACCACAATAAATCAAAGGACGCATATGTTGTGCAACTCTTTACCCCGTCCTACTTCACAGCTGAAAAGTGGCGGTTGAAAACGGAAGATAAGAAGGAAATAGGGGTTTCCGGTCAAAGTTGCTGCGTTCAGTCTTTACAAGTTAAACTGGATAATCATTTGGGCTGTATTCTTAAGAGGTTGAATACGTTTTCACTTAATGTATCCTCCTTTTGGATGGAGCGGTATGGTCAGTAATAAAGAGGTTAGGCACTGACTGTTAGAACAGAAAAAGTTGATTGATAACGTTACGAGGCTCTGCATATCGGAATGGTCAGGACAAGTATTAAGTAATGACAAGCCACTACTTTCTTAGACAGTCTATGTCAGTTGGGAAGAGTTAGACTAAAACTGCTGGTCTTACCCACGTGGAGTAATTTGGTTTGCCTGGTTAGAGTCTTTAGGATGCCGAGAATGAGTAGTTACAAACTGCTGATGACACACCTTAAAGCTATTCACAATGATGAAGATGTAATCACTACTTGTTAGCATCCAAATTCCGAAAATCCTCATTTCTCTTCATCAACCAAGTAATCCATGTTAGCCCTAAGACATCATCGAAGGACTCGTGCTGATAGTTACTAAAGTAGATCAACGAAAATTTGAAGTGATTTTACCAAATCTTTTTCCTTTCTCTCCAAAATTTTCATCCACCATGGTTTCATCAAATTTCGTTGTGTATGTGCTTTTGCAAAATGTCGCAACTTGGTCGGATGGACTTTGTGAAGAGTTATGCACCGACACAGCATTCAGATTAGTGCTTCGGATAAAAGTTTAGTGAGAGTTGGCGTCAGCAACCTTAGATCTTGTAAGCAATCACCATTCGACTGCGGTATCAGTGATTGCTATGAATAAAAAACCATTCTGGTGTAAAGACCCTGTGCTACATTATAATTAAGAAAATTGTTCATTTTAAATGTCTTAATAGCATTATCTTTCCATAGCTGGCTGGAATGTAGTACATAAGTGAATTTTATACACCCTCATAAAATGATAGACAAAAAAATCATAATAATAGTAATTAATGTTGCATAAATAGAAGGGTAGTATTATAAAAGAGATAACATACGCGTTTTTGAAGTAAAAGTCCTAAATGCTCAGATGAAATCATGCCGACTAAGGTGCCATATGAAAATCTGGACGGATCTGTAGAACCAACAACAACTGGAAATCCATGATGTAAATTGTTCGAAATACGGTCAACCAAGTCACTGACACGCATAATAGGATGTAAAAATACAACGGGATTGGACATTAAATCATAAGCTCGTTTAGTTATAGCTAATGAATGTGGTGTCCATGGAAGTAGAGCCATGCTACTTAGTCCAATGTGTTCATCGTATATACCCTGGAAGATAGAAAAATCCGGAATGAATTCCAATACATATATATATATATATATATATATATATATATATATATATATATATATAATTTTATTACATATAACTGAAGCATAAGTATTTAACCTATCTCCTTGTAGAGAGACTTTAAAACTTACTTCACTTAAACAATCCCCCATATACTTCGCAACGGTCAAGGTCATCAGCAAAGGTAAGCCGACAATCACATTTCCTGTAGCCTCCATAAGAATAACTGTCAGACTTAAAGTCATACGAACAATACCACCTAATTGTGCTGCAGCTCCGACTAGAGCGAATTTCCCGGGATCCGAAAAATGAACAGGATCGACAGTATGCATTACATTCCCTAAAGTAGAAAGATAAATTGCAAACTTTTATTAGGCTTATTCCAAAATCCAGTTTCAAAAATGAACACATCCATTGAAATATTTCTCTGCTCGATACAACCTACTACAGGACAACAGCAATAATAATACATTGTCATCTGAATGCATCTCTGTAGTAAGATAAATTATTTCACTGAAATACTAGAACGCTAGCAGTTATTCTAACCAATCAAATGACACATGTATCGTAAAAAAGCAAATAATACATACTATTCCTAACAGTGTCTAGTCTTTTTTGACTTTCTAGCCTGATAGAAATCTAGCTTTGAATTGTATATTACCACATTATTACAACATTACAGTACAGTAAAGCCCCCAAAGGACAATAATAAACTATAGTCCGATTTTAAACACTTAGATCTCCAATTTACAAATTACACAGTTCGAGGTGAAACTTTAACAGGCAGTTATCCACAATTCCGGTAGTTTGAACTGATTCAACTGTCTACACTGAGTCAAACCTGCAACACTAGTGATGAGGTCAGTCTTAAACACGTAAAACGACCTTCCGGTGATCAAATCACTTCGATTTGACTAGCAAACATTACCGGTTGATGCGATCGGTAGTAAGTGCCGTAATGCATTTAGAATTCACATAACACTAGTAGTATCGTTGATCTAACCAGCTGAGATAATAAAATATTGGATGAATTAATCAGTTCCTGACTAAATGAAAATCACACATAGCACCATTACCAGACTTTATCACATGGCGGTTTTTGGAATAGTCACTAAAAGTGATGCATAAAAACGTATCAATTGTTAGTTAACCAATTGTTTGGAAAGTAACTATACTTCTAAACACAATTCTTGTCTGAGGATTTATGGAACCTGCTACTTCTATAGTAAAAAGAGAGTGAAGTGAGCCATCGAGATGTAAGGGGATTTATAGATGAATAAGAGCTACAGGAACAGTTTTCAATATTAACTGCAAGAGAATGCCATACCTATTATTCTCCCCCAACCCGCACCGATGAGCAAGGATGGAATAAATAGACCAGCTGGAACTGATAAACCGAAGGTAATACAGGCCAAGAAATAGTACACAAACACAAATATTGTCAATACAAAAATGCTGTACGTCATTGGTGGATCATGGAGTAGGGTCCTTAGTGAACGCTCAGGTGTTGAGAAGAGTAGCGAAGAGATTGAATTGAACTCATTATCTGCACACATCATCTTTCCACACAGAAAAACACAGAAAATAAATACGAGAATAAATATAAAAATAATTTACACAGGTTAAACGAAATGAAATGCTACTGAACAACAGTGTGCATATACATTCAGCTATCGATGAATTACACCCATTGTGTAGTGGAGATGAAGAATTAATTGTACAATGCTACTTTATTATTTTCTGTTCTGTAAAGTTTCCGTAGCGAATGGGTCGATTTTCTCGGATAGTCGCTAGCCCCACACTTAAACTTCCCTTTTTTGAGCTTAGAACTGGACAGTAAACTAGGAAAATGGTGAAGTTATGGTTACCAATTGACTGCCTAAACCAACGCGTCACAGCTCCATAATCATGATCTTCCAAAATGTAATCCTACATATAACTATTGTGAACGCAGTTAAACGGGTTAGAAAGCATAAGATGACTTAATGATAACTATGATTTGATATAGGCTATTGACAGAAATCATTTAAAAATATTTTGGTTATGAAAGTAATCACACCTAATATGCATGTGAATTTAATTATCATCAATCCACGATTTCTGAGGATTTTTATTCAACCAACTGTTCACTAAGAGTTACCAGCCCAGTGTGATCCATCTTGGATAGAACAATGACCAAACTAGATCAGCGTGAAGGGCTCCTAAAACTTTTCCAGCAACAAAACATTTTTTCTATTTGTCATCCAAACACTCGACTTCTACTTCTTAACTTTCTTAAATCTCTTCGTCCTACTACTTTTGTAGACAGTCTCTTCGCCACCTGTCGCGATCACATAGTCTTGAATTACTCAAAACTGCAGTAAATTTTAACATCCCAACCTTGGTGATAACTAACCAGTCTCCCAGGTTGAAGCAGGTTCATTGGGGACCTGATGACTAAAACTCCAATCATATTACTGCATATGACGCCTGGTATTATTAACTCAAGCTGTATCAGAGAAATGACAACTAATTATTACATTTAAACTCAATCCAGGCATAAAATCCTCCTTTACCAATCTCGTAGAACAGCCAGTAGGACAGTAAATAAATCCACATACAAAAAATTAGACGTCGTTATTTACCGTCATACACTTTATCAACTAAATCCAACTATTTTCCTATAAAAGTAACAGAAATCAACAGCAAATTAGTGAAATTTTAGTGAGATTTTTGAAAAAGTAACTTCGAGTCGTCAAATAAACACACTTCAACCGGACTGATATTGTTACACTAACAATTAATGAAAAAGTTTGTTCAAATGAAACAAAACAGAAGACATACTTTTAAGGGAAAAGAACTGCTGGTATATGCTAGCGGACTACAGTCACGAACAGCCCACATAATAGCAAAGCACAGCGTAGTCGTTAATGCACTGACTAGCATGGCTTCCAAAATTTTATTGTACTTCGTCGTAATATTTCTGTAAGAAGAAAAAATAGTGTCATAGGTGTGGTAAAGGCGACAAATACTGTATACGCCTCCTTCAACCAAACAAAACGGGAGACAGGCACAAGACATCTAACTAGCTTGTCAATCGAAATATTATTCATGAGCTTAAAATAGATAGGAAGTGTATGAAATAGTTTATCACTCCAAAAATATATATGGTGGACTACACTATGAAAAAAAAAATTCACGATATGCTGAAAAACCTCATTATCTTGTATTTGATTGATAGACTTACTTTTGCCTATATCTCGTTAACACTGAATTGGCTTTAACAAATAATGCTCCAGATAACCCGCCAATCAAACCCATTACTAAAAACATGAGAATCTCATAGGCGTTATAGTCGTTCAAAGACTAGGGGAAAATTACAAAACAAACGAAATTATCTCATACACATTCTCTATGCAAAATGAAAAAGTAACAGAAATTATGCAGCAAAATAACCAAGCAAATGATGGATACACTAAACTAAGCCTTGTTATTCAATTACAATAGGTTTCTCCCATTAAAATGACATTAAGTGCTTTCTGGAGTGCAAGGCTCTACCATGTATGTCTCAAAGTATTATCTGAGTTTGGTAGAGACATAAAATGAGTAGCGCTAAGTCTAAGTGATTTTTACCAGAATACATTGGTTAATTGGTGGTTTCAAGTTCAACACACGTCTGTCTGTTTTCAACATAGAACCTTGCACCAATGTAAAGCAATTTAAGTCGCCACACTCCACGTAGCACACAAAGCAAGACAAGAAAGTAGAAGAAATGCAACATGGAGACAGTAGACAGAGATATGAGGCAAAAGGAATAGTAATAACGAAGAACAATACAGTTTCATTGGAAATTATAAGTCACAAGGAGTGGATGCATCTGCGTCAGCCAGCCATTGAGAACGATTTTTAGCCATATCACCGATTTTTTCCAGCCGTCGGTGTTTACCGTCCCGAGGATGCCAACCACGAAGTCTACACCTCCCTACGTGGCTTAAAGTAACTGTTGTGGATTTCATTGGCTGATGCAGCCATGTTTTGGTTTGACCACCACTGGCTCTTTTCCAACCTGACTCTATGTCAGCTAATATTGCCCGTTGAGGAAGGCGATGACTAGGCATACGAAACACATGTTTAACCATCTCAGTCGATGTAGCTTCACAGCCTCGTCGGTTGATTTCCCTTCCCGCCCTCAACCTAAGCCCAACCTCAATATTGCTCACTTTATTATACCACTTCACACAGGATAGAACGCAGGCACCTATGATCAAAGGCAGCTAGCCTTTTCATGTCCTCCACTCTCAATGGCCGGGTCTCACAGCCATAAAAGAGGACGGAGTGGACTGATGAGCAGTACACACACCCTTTGGTCGTCGATAGCCGGATATCAGGTCTACGCTAGAGACGGCGTAAACTGGTATATGCGAGACTAGCCTTCTGTATCCGTTCTGAGATTTTGTCAGCGATTAACCCGCTGGCTGATGCAACTTCCCAAATAAATGAAGCGGTCAACGTGCCCTACCACTTCACTCCCTATTTCTAAGTGTAGTCCAGTCCTGTAACATCATCTTACATTTGGAGGGAGCAAATCACATGCTTAACATTCGTAGATTGCAGATCAAGGTGCTTAGAATACTGCATTTTGTCAGTATCTTCATCTAGAAGGACTATATCACCCTCATATTCAAAGTCAACGAGATTATTCCCTGGTAACAAGTCAATCCCTGAGTCGCTAATGTCACTAAGGGTTAAGTCCATTAATACATATATGATGAAATTGAGTAGAAATAGGGATAGTGGGCATCCCCGACGGATATCACTTCAGATGACAACTCGCCGTAACCTCTCACCTGGCTGACTGTATGAGTTCGAGTAGAGTGCCTTGATCAGTGCAATGTATTTTTTCGTCATTCCCTTTACAGTCAAACATCGCCAGAATACCTATCGGTCGACAGAATCGAATGTCGCCTTTAAGTCAAGAAATATAACGATTGTTGGACGCCGGTAAGAATGCCAATGTTGAAGAATCTGTCGAAGGGTAAAGATATTATCAATACACCCTCTTCCTGGTCTAAAGCCTGCCTGGTTCTCTCGTGTTTGTTCCTCCCGTAAACCGCTTAGTCTACGCATGTTTATTGAGCCTAGAACTTTAGATACCACAGTAGTCAAGCTAATCCCTTTGTGATTATCACAGAAAAATTTGTCTCCCTTCTTGTATATGGGGATAATCAGTGACTTACAACAACCCGATCGAACTTCCTCTGCTTCCCAGACGCTGCCTAGTACCTCAGTTAATGCAGACAGTAAACTGTCTCCACCGTACTTAAATACCTCTGTAGTCATTCTATCAGATCCTGCTGCTTTGCCTCGTTTCAGATTAGTGACAGCCTTAGTAACCTCAGTTAGGGTGTGAGGACCTATCTATATCCCATACAGGGAGGTGTTGGATGTTCGGCAGGTTGAGCGTGGCTGTGGGCCAATTAAACTGCTCCTCATAGTGCTCTTTCCAGCGATCCAGTCGTCTATCCTGGGAGCTAATTATAGTGCCATTTTTCTCGGAGATTGTTTCACTTATCATTTGCTTTTTGCCACCTGTTTCCCCGATAAGTCTAAATAGTTGTCGATCTCTTTCGCTTTTGTCGCCCACCATTCTTCACGGTCGTTACGAAGGCTTCTTGTTAGTTTTCGTTTGAGTAGCTTTCTTTCCTTATCATAATCGCAGCTCGCTGGAACCAGTCTTCTTGCGTCAATCAGTTCGGATGAAGTGTTAGAAATCTAATGGCACTTACTAGCTTTAGGTTTCAAGTTATTAACAGCTGTCTACAGCTAACTGTGTGTTGTGCCAGGTTACCTCAGGAGGAGTCCTGATATCGACTTCAAGTACTAGTTTCGCTATTTCCTCCTTAAATTAGGACTCAGTGTCTCGGTCTAGTTGTGGACGTAACTGTCTCGCTGCCGTCGGCATGGGACTCCATACGTACCATCTACATACTTCTCAGTGTGGCATAACTTCCCTACTTGGGCATTGCAGTCGCCTGCTAAAACAACTATATTTGGACGTTTTGCTTTTTGCAGCAAATTAGACAGTTTCAGGTAGAAGTCACCCTTTAGTTCATCCGAACTGCAGTCTGTTGGGGTGTAAGCGGAGACTACGAAAAGGCAACGACGGGTAGCACCAGCTTACCTTCTTTTAACAGACCCATTCAGACACACACACCGCACACATACGACTATCTACTGAGATCCAGTCAAGAAGTGATTTTCCTGCCCTAACACTCAAAGAAATCCCTACACCTGCGAGTTCTCGCAAACTAGCTGAGAGGTCTCCTGACACCCTCAAAGTGAATTTTGCAGATTCGCCTTGTTGGCCAGGTGAGGTTAAGTGAATTACCACACACGAGTTTTGTATGCGTGTCTCCGATGCACAACATACATCCATGGCTCGAGATGCCAGAGTTATTGTTAGCGATGCCTATTGTCTGATTCGGTAGAAGGTTCTATATGAAGCTGGTGACGTGGCTTTAAGATACTGTCGGGGGTGTTTCTATGGCTCTCATCGTTGTTTGTGGTCACAGAGTAAAGTGGACTCACTAGTCTGAAGAATAGCACTGACTGTAGTAGGGGAAAAGATGAAGGTGATATGGGTGGAGGAGAATGATGCTCGGGGAGACTTCGTGTGCTCTTGGAGGTGTGTGGGTGGTTACTTCCCGGCTGCCTACACCGTGGAAGTTGGTTGATTCTTCGAGTACCTGAAACAGAAGGAGGGTTAGTTTTCCGTGACCGCAGAGCCCAGGAGACAGCTAATTGAGGCCGACCACACACGACCTGCATGAACTGGTTTCTTGATCTGGTTCCGTATTAGTAAACTTACCGCCGGTTATGGACCACTGTAGGATAAGTCGGGATGTACAATTGTTGGGGTCGATCTTTTCTAACCCTCTCTCCAGAGTGGAGAGACAACATGCTGGTCATCTGACGGAAACACCTCACTGCTGCTACATCCCTGTTCCCCAGCAGTACGACTTCGCCCACAGCATAGGGTAAAAAATACTTATACTATGCCTGTAACAGCTTTTAGTCTAATGGCTATCCTAACAACCTTCCTGGGATGGTAGGACCTGGAGGAACAATGCTTCCAGCCAGTGTAGCTTGTTGGGTCATTGCGATGTGCAAGGCCAACCACCACGTCAAGGTAACAGCTATCGGTCGGCCTACAATAAACGAGATGTTTAGTTAGTCACTATTTACTCCACTGCATACTAACTGGAATTATATAATGTGGTGCAAAGCTGTTGACAGACAATGATGCAGTGACCAGCAGTTATAGCCATGTAAAGACATGCATGTCGAAAAATCAATAATAAAAGTCTTAACTTGAACTCAACTACTTTGGCATAGAAAATGCTTTGCATGTAAGATTGCTGTGGGTGAAAACTATAAAGTATTTATTTCAAATAAAACAGAAAATACTACATCTGTTAAGCTGTTTCTAAAATACTACCTTTTTAACCAATGAATCCCAAGCTCTGCATGTCTTCTCATTAACTTAAAAAGACAAAACTTCATACAAAGGTGTAACAGTTCAAGTTGCCACACTTTAGAGCACACAGAACTAGAGGAAAGAAATGTAATGAACTGGAATGGGCAAAAATTAGTGAGGATTTTCAGGAACTGGATGATAAAAAGGAGTGAATATATATGTGAAAGATTTTCGCCTTTGTTTGAATGTGGTTAATAACTTCTACAGAAAAAACTGTTCAACCAGGAGAGCTGTCTTAATCTTAAGATCTACTGTGTTAAGGCAGGTGAAAATACGTGAATTATAGCTCACAAATTTCAAAATTCGAAATCAACTATTACAACTTACTTCAAGAGTACCAAAGCTGACAAGACCTCCCGGAGTAAATTTGAATACATGAGTACGGGTGAGGGTTTTAAATAGAGCCAAAGTAAACATCGAAACCATAGACGTAAAGAGCTGAATAAAAACAATGTGAGAGTTGTAACTTTAAATTTAACAAATGGTTACCTCATTACTTACGCAAAATTGGAGATCAATTTTACGGCATAGTTATGAAGATTCTGCGACCTGAATTGAAAACAATGGGTCCTTTAGAACTGAAAACGTGCGTTTCCTAACTGGTTAAATTTCAGTTATAAATAGTTTATAATATTAGTAATAAGCAACTATCAAACTTGGAGAACACAATCCAAGCAAATGCGTATTTCGGTAATTTCCTATCAGGTTTTAATTCTATTAACCTTATCGCCATTGAATATCTACGGCTATTAATTCTGTGTGAAGCTTGAAAAATACCTGAAAACGCATAATCGCTTAAATTATGTTTCTCAATTACCATACTGGGAATATTTAAACTAACAAAATAACAAAATGTCTGTCAGTCGAATAGTTGAAATAAATAACATGAGAAAAGACATTAAACAAAGTTGGACATTTCATGATTCTGGTCAAATTAGGTGACACGGTATACAGTTAGTGTAAGAACTAATTGATGCTATTGTTTTGAGAACTACATCTAAGTGGACCACCACTTAAAACAAGATCGAGATAAATGACTAGACGCTATGCAGATTACACCAAATTCTTTGCAAATTGAAGGTAGCATCATAAAGACTTGGATACAGATGAACATGTGCCTTGTAGCTAGGTTGTGTTACATTTAAATGCCTCATAACTTTTAAACCGCGCTTTTTTTACGAGACTTGCATCCGTGCAATCTACTAAACAGACGCTTACAATCAGCCTTATAAGAAAGGACTGAATGTTTCTATCTAGATTTTTATTGTATCATGAGGTAATTACTCAGACACTGAAGTGATCAGATGAAATAGTAAAGCCCACACTAATCCAGAGCTAAAAATCATATATTGTAACCAGAGGACTACTTCAACCCATAACATTTCCAAAGGAGAATATCCGATCACCTTCTGATCTAGGATGCTAAGATCCATATGGTAGGAAGCCACAAATTTAGGTTTCTTGTTCATCATTGCTCATCAGTAAAGCCTATAATCAACCTCAAGTAAGCTCTGAAATGAAGTGTGACTCAAGAATTACACGCATTTACTTACTACAACTCCATAACTACACTAATTATTTATAGAATACACGATTCAGAATGACTTCCTCTTTAGTCATTCAACTGTGTTGCTAACGCAAATATTGTATGAGAAAACCAGGTCTCAAGTTTGATCTCAGAGAGAAGTATTCTGTAATTTCAGTTAACACTCAGTCACCGAGGATACATTTTTGTCTATTAGGTTCTAAGCCAAACATACTGTATAAGGTTTGATGGCGCTAACCAGTCTCTCCGGTTGAAGTATGTGGGTGAAATTCAAAACCAGAATCTATACGGTAGAAGTAGAGTGTTTGGGTTCATGAGTCACACCGGAGAAAGACGCAATAAGTTATTGAGATATATCACTCACCAGGAATGGTTAGAAACCATTCACGCTGACTAAATTTTCATTCGGTCAGATGTTATGCAAGTGTTGTAAATTTTGCCGTCAATAAAGGACTGTTACCCTAAGACAAAAGTGTAAATACATCCATCTCTGGCAGATAAACGAGTGGTTGATGATAATTAATTGAAGTTTTTATTGCAGTTGACTACTTATTTGTAACTTAAATAGCAGATTACATTAGTAACTTCTTACTATGTAAGTGATATCTCGTCGTAAAACAACACCATATGCACTCGATTATCCATGTCAGCAATTGACTCATTTGAGAATGAAGACGATTAGCAATTAGTCACAATAAATTAAGAGTTTTCCAGATCGACGTAAGAAACTATAAGTATTTCAAATCAAACACGAATCAACTGAACATGTATGTAACATTCGGTCCTTTGTACAGTAAAACCGATCAACTGAAGGCGAAGCTAACTTATTTTAACTAAACGTTTAGTCCATAGATTAGAGACAAGGTTTGAAAGGAGATATGCTTACATTTTCTTTTGGCCGTTTCTACTCGCAAGTTGAAATTTGACTTAAAAGACAATTAGAGCGTAAGCGTTATTTAGTGGAATTTTATCACTCCGCAATAACACAGCTAAACGTAAGTTAATTAAAATCTACCTGTAAGCTTCGTTTAGTTAGCTGAGAATTAGTTTGAAATATATTTGCCATCAGAGCACTGAATAATGAAGCTTCTTAATATAGCTACGTAAATAACAAGTAAACGAAACTTACTATTGTCCATGTTAACCTCTGGTACACAAAACTAGCACCTTCTTCTAGGGAAAATAAGAGACCACCAACTGGCGACCCAAAAGCGGCTGCAACACCAGCGGCCGCACCGGCACTGACGAAATCACGCTTTTCCTGGTCATTTCTAAAAATCTGCAGACACTTCAATGACACTTTGCAAAACCGAAGGCGTCCTTGGGATAATCCAGCAGCAATCACTGAGCCAATATGTATCATTGGTCCTTCTTTGCCAGCAGCTAACCCCCCTGAAACACACAAGACCACACCAACACCTTTCACTACCATAGTGAGGCAACGCATTACACGAGGGATATTAAGACCGTTGAGGTAACATTTGATTTGAGGAATTCCACTTCCAGCAGCAACTGGCTGAAAAACTTTTAGTAAAAACATAAACCTACGGCTAGATAGACGACCAGTGTCGCTGCGGCGCCTGTGAGGACTGAGTTTATAACACACCATAAAAAGCCTGGGACAGAAATCCACAAGGAGTGAGGGTAATAACTGATTACTATTAATGTTAAGGAAAACAACTATTAAGTCTGAAGCCAAAATTAAAACAAAAAATGCACAGTGAAAGGATACGCCAGGATATTGATCGGTATTTAGACTGGGAAATAATTTCAATGCCATAATCAATTAGACAAGCAGAAAGACCAGTAAAAACACCTATTAAGAATAAGACTAGGTGTCGCAGCAAAGCAGCTTGAAAGCGATTCTCCTGTTAAATGTTAAACTGTTAAAATCTGACATACATAAGAGGCTCTCCGTGAACCTTCATCGGTAAATATCTTATTTTGGACAGGGTCATAATCGAACCCCTAGGAAAAAATTAAACGAAGTAACAGCTGCAACCTCTATATCCTGGTCCAACAAAATATCTGGGTGAAGTTCCTCATTTGTGAGAGACAGAACATCTGTATAACTGTGACGGCGCGCGTCATTTCTGCGGAAAGCCTGAATATCCTATGAAACCAAAATGGTGACACTGCATGCGAGCACATACCTCAACATCACTTGAAATCCCCAGTCGAAAACTGTAGGACAAGTTTTGATTTGAGTCCGTACCTTCTTGATTACTGGAGATAACTTTTGCATACCGTGAAGGAACTGGACTCCTCATCTCAACGGCAACCTTCGGGAATCAACGTCTCGTATTGAAGGTCATTCGAGGTCATATCGTAAAATTCATTCACGCGCGTTTGATTTCGCAACAATGTTTCATGTGATTGGCTTTCTAAGCCTACATATGACGAACGCACCAATGGTGTTCAAACAGCCAACTACATCACCCAGGCTAACTTGGGTGAAAGAAGAGAAATAGATCAACGGCGAAGTTTAAGAATAGGGTCCCAAAACCTTCAACGCTCAAATGACCTTGAACGCATGCTAGTCGTTGGCTAACGGTTCCTGTCATTATCATAGCTGAAATATCAACCCTATTCATCAAATAAGGAGCAAGTTTCACCCAGATAACACTTTTATTACTGTTTGGACAATGTGTTAACATCTCGTTAGGGTTAGGATAGGGGTTAAGGCGAGTATTGTGGTTAGGGTTAGGTTTAGGGTTAGTGTTGGGGTTTAGGGTTAGGGTTAGAATTAGGGTTAGGGTTTAGGATTATGGTTAGGGTTAGGGTTTAGGGTTATGGTTTAGGGGTTAGGGTTGGTTTGGGTTAGGGTTTAGGTTAGGGTTAGGGTTAGGGTAGCGATTAGGAATAGATTTTTCGTTTATTTCAAGTTCGTTTGTAATCCTTATTTCCCTTGTATGTAGTCGCCAATGATCTTACTGGAACCATAGTAACTAAACCGAGGGCTGAGGAGAGGACTACACAGCAAGAGAAGAGAGATGAACCATTCCCAAAACAGCACATCTTCAGTCTCTTTGGTGATTACATCTACAGAAACTAGTCCAAATTAGCAACTGATACTCTTCATCGCAACTGGAACGTATTTTTAAGTCACATAAGAGAAATATAATCCGTTTAATGTTTTTTTCATGCATTTTTTTGTAAATATACGTTAAATTTTATGCAAAATTCCTCCTATTTTCTGATTGGTCGGCTCAAGGTCATTGTGCGTTCGCATCTCTTGGGACTCCATTCTTAAACTTTGCCAGATCAACTCCAATAATAAAGGAAGAAAAGTGTAGAGAAAGCTGTCATGCATCAGATTCACATTATAAAGATATAAGGCACTTGTTGCCCATGTTAATCGTGGCGATATATATCTCTGGAGAGATCCAGTTTCTCTTTGAAGGCGTTCACCGATGGAAATGTTACTACTTAATCAGGTGAGGAGTTCCAGTTGTTGAGCACTGTCTGAGAGAATCTTAACTCCAAAAGTATTTTATTCGACCTCCGTTTGAGCACCTTTTTGTGGTGACCTCGGGGGAGGAGAAAAGGTTTGAAAAATCAACCCCTAAATCACCCTTGAATATACACTAAGCCAAAATTAAGTCGCCTCTCCTCCTTCGGTATGATAATGGGAAGAGATTTCAATGCTCCATCCTCATATCTTAAGCAAAGTGTGACATACCACTAACAAACTGAGATCGATAAAGACAACGTTCAGTAAATGGTTCTTATCCCTGGCCTCAACTCAATCTTCCCTAGCTAACAGTGAGTTTGCCAATCAGGATCGTCTTGGTCGGAATCCACGATATTCCACTACCAGTAAGCCATGTTTTTCCATATGAGCTAAGAGCTGATCCCTTTTTGAGTTCTTCCAACACCTTTGTTATAATGCAAGTCAGACTTACAGGCTGGTAGTCACACATTATCTGCCTGTCCCTCTCTTTGAAAATAGGGCTTACGAAATCGTCTTCCCAGTCCCTGAGGAGCCTAGCATGGATCAGAGACACATCTCCGTGAGTTGAATGTATATTGTATCCGCCAAGGAGATCGGGAGTCTGAGGTGAAGTTTGTCAGGTCCAAGTGATTAACGTGGCTTCAGTTTAGACAGTAGTTTGAGAACCACTGGATCCTCTACCCCAATTGTTAGCATTTTAGGGGCTACATCAGTGACCTCGCTACACCCCTGAGTGGTACGATTAGGCGAAAAACATCGCGAAAGAATTCGAAGAGCTTTTCAGATTTGTTTCGTCCGACTCGGTAGCCTCTCCAGTGATGCTAACGAGTGACAGTATGTCACTGCTAGTTTTAGTCCTGCGTTAGATTTATGATTACAGTCTTTTCGGATAATGAAAACAATCCAGTACCAAATGTCTCTCATACTCTATTCAACTTTCGTCAATCTTGTACACACGAAAGTTTCGAATTTCGTGGTATTCTATACGAAACTCATCTCTCCCAGTCACAGCGAACCGGTGCAATAAAATCTTTCGTTTTCTTGATAAACTACTTATTTGATTTCTAATCCAAGGTGGTATATGCGACGGTTTTCGAGGCGTAGACCAAGATAAAAAGGGTGCAGTGACACATTCTAGTGTGCTACTAAATCACAACTAAGGCTCCTCTACAGTCTGGTTTCCATTAAAAGGCCAGTTAGATGGGGTTACTACATTTCGGAATGCAGGTGTCAATGTAGTTGAAGATTGAACGATCAATTCATTGTTGTTTGCTCAAACCAACTTCCGTTTATTTTCGCCGAGGCATCAAAACACAAGTCATCGTCTCATCGGTCGCTGTTCAGAAAGAACGTAGAAAAACCGTCAGAAGTAATATCGTGATTTATTATTGTAATATTTGTTCACAGACCTTAGTTATTATTCTGCTCACATGTTTGTGTTGGAATAAAGAGTTCTCGAGTCGCCAATCGGTGTTTGGGTTTGTGCGTCCGTTATAACTAAGCGTTCCTGAAATGCTTCGAGGGACAGCGAAAGGCTTGGCGTAGCAAGAGCTAGCCATTGACGGATTTTGAGAAGTGATAGACAGTTTCTGACGGCTAGTGATAGTTTTGATGGTTGGATAGTATCCGTCCGCCTTTCCTGGTGCCGGTCAAGTCCTCTTTGAACAAGCAATATCTGGAACGTTTCTGGAATTGGGTCAAGTTCAACAATGCCTGGGTCAAAGAAGGGACAGAGTGTCTTGGATGCAAACAGGAAAGTAAGTCATGGTGACTTGTCTGTTACTTGTAACGATGTGTCTGTTGTTAAGCATGATATGGTTGATGTTACTGTTTCGCCGTTCAGGGATAATAGGAACATAAAACTCCCTAAATTTGAACCACGGTGTTTCGATGGAAACCCAGCTGATTATTTACAGTCTGTAACGAAGTTTGAGATCATGCTGAGTAGTTCTTTATTAAGTGATGAAGGGAAATTGATGTATTTCATTAGGTACAGCACTAGAGTTGCTTCAAGAGCTACACAGTGCTGTAAGTTTATGAAGCCACACCACGGGTACTATGAGCCTATGAGCATACTACGTCAAAGGGTTGGAAGACATTCGATGATTGCAGGGAAATTATTCGAGGCTGTCAAGGGTAATGGTGATCAAAAACAGGATGACTCCAAGGCACTCACTCAGTTTTTGGATAATTTGCTGATTTACAAGAATGCATTGATTTCGACGAATTGCATGTGTCAATCACGTCTCATAAACCGTTAATGCCCAGCTCTTGGTACGCTCGGGTCCACGCTGTTCCTTGAAGTTTTCAGAAACGCTTAGTTATAACGGACGAAAAAACCAAAACACCGATTGGCCGCTTGAGATTTCTTTATTGTTACATCAACATATAAAAATAATAACTGAACTAAGGTCTGTGAACAAATATTACAATAATAAATCATAGCATTACTTCTGATGATGTTTCACTCTTCTTTCTGAAAAGCGACCGATGAGACGATGACTGTCGTATTCATGCCTCCGCGAGAATTGGGGAAGTTGATTTTGAGCAAACAATCAAGAATTGATCGTTCAATCTTCAACTACATTGACACCGTGCTTCGTTTGTTTCCTGTCCAGTGCCCGTCGCACCTGGAAATGAAAACAAGAACGCTAAGAACCATGTCGAGGAAAATGTACCAAATCAGCTTTTTTGTTAAAATAAAATGATGTGCATTTACTAAGGAGGGAGGGTGGCGCTAGCTGATCAGTAGATATGGTGGTGGTCACTAAGGTGAATCGCCCCATTCTGCAGGAACAGCAATATACAAATTAAAGGCTCGAGATATTTCTGATTTTTATGAGGGCTTAGATCTTTATCTTGAAAAAGATAATAGTGAACGCCTTGACAGATCATGCTTCTACCTTTAAATATATACCATTCGCTCAGCCTATTGTTGAGATGCGACCACGTGGGATCTGCACAGATTTATGGGGCATCTTATAAATTAACTTGCTATCCATTGTCAGATCTTTAAATACCACTTCACAATATCTTGTCTCACTTATTTTCTAATAACGTCTTTACTTGATTCTCATTATATTCCATTAAACCTAACATTTTATAGCTCTTTATGAATTTGATTCGACTTATTCTATTCCTATTCTCTGGAAGGTACGGTTGTGCACCAAATAGAAAAAAAGACATGAAATAAAAACAACTGGCTTGAAAATAATTGTATTAAAGCCAAAAGTGAACGCATGATAGTATAAAATATATTGGTTTCATTATACATTGCAAATGAACGTTGTCGGCCTAAGGATTAATTACTTCCCCATTCTGTTTTCTATATAAATGTGTTTATTAATGATATATTTCACTCACTTAATCTATTACACTTTAATGTTTCACCACAGCACTTTAATTTTTCTAAAACAGCTTCCAATTCCTTGTAAACGTTGTACTTACCTCAATATTGGTTGGTTATCGTATGCCTACAACCACGGGATGAAAACGAAACGAAGTCGATTTTCCCGCGAAACCTGGAGGACAATTGTACAATTCAATAACTATACAGCCTAGTTCAGACAACGTGTATTTATATATATATCAAATATTTAACTGTTGAGACATTATTAACTTGTAAACAATCTACGATTTGATATTATATCATCCTTGATCGTGCCTGTAAAAATGGCATGCATTTTCATGTAAATTTATGTTTATATGAAAATAAATTATTATTATTATTATTATACAGTAAAATAATGCTAAGTTCAGAGCATCGAAAAAAATACATCTAATTAATTTTTTGTGTATGTTACATGAACTGTTGAA